TATCTAAAGTCACGGAATTTTTCCGCGTCATTCCGTAATTTTTATCTGAATTATTGGTGAAAAATAACGATACCGTCACTTAAATTTTTCGAATCAACTCCGTAATCGGTAAGTGAACTGAAAGTTCCGTAATTTTTACTAAATATTTCTCTCCGTGTATTGTGAATGAAAATCATTGATAGTATTTCTGTATCTGTCCTTACGCCGAGAAAAATATTAAAGGAAAATTACGGAGCGTTCCACGTAATCTGCAAGCGAAGTTATCGTCACGTAAATTCTATACGATATGTTCGGTAAAGATTTCTTGTCTGCCCGAAGTCTCATGGCTAGCCATGAGGTACCGGGAGGAGGCTATTTTCATGAAACGTTTTGTAATTTTTGCGGAACGTTCTCCGAAAATTCTGGAGCATCCATGAATTTTTATGTTCTGAGGCATAATAAATCTTCAAGTTTCATTCAATTTTAAAACTTCTCCAAAAATGACATGACTTTTTCATATATTTCAGTAACAGAACCAAAAAAATTTACTGAAAGTTTCAGATTTATTCCCCGAAAACGATTCTCGGTGAATTACGTGAAATTTTCCGTAATTTTTCTTGAATATTTCTGTGTACTGAACCATAAAATGGAAAAATTATGCAATCAATGTAGCTGGAATAAATTAATCATTTGTGTTAATTGGCATTTTTAATATGTATGTATTAATATTAATTGACATTTTTATCTTCCACATTTTAAGAAAACTAAATAAACATTGTGTGTCGCACAGGCTGTTGAAAAAAAAAGATTTTGTTCTTTCCTTTCTGCGTCCAAATGAAGGTCTTGTATTCGACCGATTCTTCGATTCGCTAATTTCGATTGCAAGTTGTTTAGAATGTTATGACACGCGAAGAAATCATGTTTTTAGATCATGTCTGTGTGTATGTGCTGGAAAATTCGAAATTCTACAACATTACCACGAATAAACAACGCGTTGTAGTGAGTATTTTTTTTTAACAATCGGAGTCGATTGTTAAATCCCCACCAAAACCGCCACATTTTTTTATAACGTCGTTTATTCTAGGTGGTCTGCCGGGTTTTCATTTTTCTTTCATGAAATTGGGAGACAGATAATGCCCGAGGACGTCACGTACATGCGATAATATTATTTACATTATCACAGCAGCTCACTGTGTGCATGGAATCGAGCCCTCTAAACTTTCTGTACTTGCCGGTGTTGTTGATTTTGCGAATAATGAGAAAACGTGGTTTCCTGTTAAATCATATGCCATTCATCCATCATTCGGAAATAGAACATTTGTCAACATGCGTGTTACATACTACTATCATGATATTGCTGTCATAACGGTATGGCATTTACCTCGAATAATTTTCATTTTTTGGCATAATCTCTAATACTGATAATCATTTTCTTCGTCATTCCTGCCAAAAATAGATTGGAAAGTCTTCCGTCTTCAGTAATCATATTGCTCCAGTGTTGTTCAATTTCGATGAAGACCAGCTAGAAGATGAAATTTTTCATCGTTATGGTCCCTATCAAATAGTCGGATGGAACTCCCACTTAGTGAATGGCTCGCCAGTATTGCATTTGGGATCGCAGAATATCACCTTTTTTTCGCATCCTACATATGCTAATATATACATTTTTATGCCCGCTAGTGAGCTGTTCACTATAGATTGGTCGAGCAACGCCATTACAGGCATGGTGAGAATAATTGGTTCTATTGATTAATCTTCGCTTTTAGCGTACTAATTATTAATTAACTTATTATAGGAAAACAGTGGTACGCCCATTCTTTCTGATGGAGAAGTGATCACTATTGTAACAGGCAGTAATCGTCCACCGAAGGGCCATAATTGGACCATGATTCTCAAAATATGGAAATACAGGAATTTCATTCAAAAGACTGTGAATGAAAATCATTGATACTATTTCTGTATCTGTCCTTACGCGGAGAGAAATATTCGAGAAAAATTACTGTTGATAAGAGTTATCAAAGACAGCCTGGTTATCTACCGTGGATTCTACTATCGCCTATATATTGTAATTAGTAAATCGTAATCTCGCCACCGTGAGTGTCAATGTTACTGATCGATTATAATGGCGAACGAGTGAACACGTATAAATTCAGTGCTCGAAGTATATTTATATTTATTGTTGCAATCCGTAATATATGCATTATTTAT